AAAATTGTCCATTTCCTTTAGATTTTCAAATTTTGTGGCATATAGACTTTTGAAGTAAGTCCTACTGATTGTTTGGATTTACTCATTGTCTGTAGTTATGGCCCCCTTTTCATTTCTGATTTTGTTGATTTGGATGGTGTCTCTCTGCCTTTTATTTAGCTTGGCTAAGGGTTTGTCTGTCTTATTGATTTTCTCAAAGAGCCATCTCTTGGTTTCCTTGATTCTTTGAATTGTTTTATTTGTTTCTAATTGATTGATTTCAGCCCTGAGTTTGATTATTTCCAGCCGTCTACTTCTTTTTGGTGTGTCTGCTTCTTCTATTTCTAGGGTTTTTTAAGTGAGCCATTAAGTTGCTTGAATGAGCTGTCTCGAATTTCTTCCTGAAGGCACTTAGTGCTATGAAATTTCCTCTTAGCACTGCCTTCATTGTGTCCCACAAGTTTGGGTATGTTGTGTCTTCATTTTCATTGAGTTCTAAGAAGACTTTAATTTCTTTTTTTATTTCCTCCCTGACCCAGCTGTCATTTAGTAGCAAGTTGTTCAGTTTCCATGTGTGTGTAGGCTTTTTGCTATTTCTGTTGTTATTGAGGTCCAGCTTTATTCCATGGTGATCAAACAGGATACAAGGGATTATGTCAATCTTCTTACATCTGTTGAGGCTTGCTTTTTGACCAACTATGTGGTGTATTTTGGAGAAGGTTCCATGAGGTGCTGAGAAGAAGGTAAATTCTTTTGTGTTTGGGTGTAAGGTTCGGTAAATGTCTGTTAGGTCCATTTCATTCATGACCTCTGTCAGACACCTTGTTTCTTTGTTTAATTTCTGTTTTGTTGACCTGTCCTTTGTTGAGAGTGTGGTGTTGAAGTCTCCCACTATTAATGTGTGGGGATCTATGTGTGATTTAAGTTTTATCAATGTTTCTTTTACAAATGTGGGTGCTCTTGTATTTGGGGCATAGATGTTCAGGATTGTGATGTCTTCCTGGTGGAATTTTTCCCTTGATGAGTATGAAGTGTCCTACCCCATCTCTTTTTATTAATTTTGGTTGAAAGACTATTTTATCAGATATTAGAATGGCTACTCCTGCTTGCTTCTTGGGTCCGTTTGCTTGGAAAGTCGTCTTCCAACCCTTTATCCTCATGTAATGTCTATCTTTGTGTCTTAGCTGTGTTTCTTGAATGCAACAGATTGCTGGGTTTTGTTTACGTATCCATTCTGTTAGTCTGTGTCTTTTTATTGGAGAGTTGACTCCATTGATGTTGAGAGAGATTAATGATCAGTGGCTGTTAGATCCTTTGGTTTTGATGTTGGGTGCGGTCATAAGGTTGTGTGCTTGGTTGCTTTTTGTTTTACTGTAGTGAGGTTAATTATTTCCTGTGTTTTCTTGAAAGTACCTAGTTTTCTTGGGTTGCATTTTCCCTTCTAGTTATTTCTGTAATGCTGGATTTGTGTGTAGGTATTGTTGAAATTTGTTTTTGTCATTGAATATCTTGTTTTTCCATCTATGAGGACTGAGAGTTTTGTGGGATATAGTAGCCTGGGCTGACATCTGTGTTCTCTTAGGGTCTGCATGATATCTGTCCAGGCCCTCCTGGCTTTCATAGTCTCTGTTGAAAAGTCAGATGTGATTCTAATGGGTTTGCCATTATATGTTACTTGGCCTTTTTTCCCTTGCATCTCTTAGTATTTTTTCTTTGTTCTGTATACTTACTGTTTTGATTATTATGTGGCTGGAGGATTTTCTTTTCTGGTCAAATTTGTTGGTTGTTCTGTAGGCCTATTGTATTCTTATTGGCCTCTCCTTAAAGTTGGAGAAATTTTCTTCAATGATTTTGTTGAAAATATTTTCTGGGCCTTGGAGCAGGGAATCTTACTTTTCCTCTATTCCTATTATTCTTAGATTTTGTCTTTTTATGTTGTCTTGAATTTCTTGGATGGTCTGTGTCAGGAATTTTTTAGATTTAACATTTTCTTTGATAGATACATCTATTTCTTCCATTGTATCTTCCACACCTTATATTCTGTCTTCCATCTCTTGTAGTCTATTGGTTATGCTAACCTCTTGTAGTTCCTGTTTTCTTCCCTAAGTTCTTTCTGTCTGCAATTTCCTCCATTTGTGTTTTCTTTAATTTTTCCAATTCTATCTTCAGATCTTGAGCCATTTTTTTTATTTCCTTCACCTGTCTGACTGTTATTTTTCTGTTTTTTCCATTACTTCTTTCAGCTGTTTGTTTGAACCAACCTCCATTTCTTTTATTTCATTCAGTGCTTTAAGCATTTCCTTTCTAAAGGCCACAAACTTTTGGCTGCAACTTCCTCTATTTCTTTACGGATGGCAATATTCTGTTTGAGTTTGTCTTCCTCTATGTCTTTACGTATCTTATTTGTTTCTTCTGTTATTGTCTTCATGAGAATAGTTGTTAGGTCATCTTCTTGGATTTCAGTTATGCTGGGGTGTCCAGGGCTACTTTCCCCTGGGTAACTGGGTTCTGGAGATGCCATATTGCTCTGTCTTTTGTTGCTTGAGCTTTTATGCTGGCCTCTACCCATTGGGCTATCTTAGGTGTTTGGAATTAGTTTCTGGTGGTTCCTGGGGATCCTGTGGTGGAGAGAATCCCCTTGGCAGTAAGCTGTTTTTTCTTGATGGAAGTCTTCTCAGCTTCTTTGTGTACAGTCCCTGGATGGCTGGTGTTTTTTCAGGAGTTGCTGTTGCTCACCTCAGGGATAGAGACCTGAGTGGTAACTGTGGTCTTTCTTAGTCGAGAGGATTCTCCTTTCACCCAGGGAAGTCCTGAAGACAGCTGCCCTGTTTCTGGGTTTCTTGCTGAAAATTTAATGATCAGCTGCTGTGACACAGTCGTACAGCTGGTGAGCAGCAACTGTTTGTGCCTGTGTCTGGAGCACAGCTCAGTGATGGCGGCTCAGCCCCGCCGGTCTGTGAGACTGTTTCCAGGGAAGGCCTGGGTGATTTAAGTTAGTACAGTTTCCTTCCTTCCCTGTGGATTCTCTGGAAACAGGGACTCTCAGTCTTTTTTTTTTTTTTTGCCCTGGGATGCACTGCTCAGTCTCTGCCAGATAGCTGGCACGCAGAAACTGCCTGTTTCTGGAGCACAGCTCAGTGATGGCGGCTCGGCCCCACCAGGCTGCGAGATTTTTTTCCAGGGAAGGACTGGGTGATTTAAGTTAGTACAGCTTCCTTCCTTCCCTGTGGATTCTCTCATGACAGAGACTCCCAGTCTGGTGTGTTTGTGCCCATCGATCAGCCTGGGAAGTTGTTCAGGACAACCAGGCGTGTGGCTCTGGTCTGGGGACCTAGTGCCTATGAGACCTGGGATCTCTTCTGGGTTCTGGCTGGCGGACCTGAGAGTGGTCAAGACCGATTCCCACGCTGTGGGGGTTTCCTCTCACCTGAAAAAACACGATCGCCGTTGTTATAGGGCTCAGGGTTCAGTCTCTTGGTTGCTGTACAGGAAATGTTGTCCAGTTCCTCAGACGCCCTGTTCTCCTGGCAAAGCCATCTTGTCCCTGCCCCCTTTGTTTAGTTTTCATTAAGAACCTAAGACTCAATTAGGTAAGGCAGCCTCTACGCTTGAAAGGAAGTAGCTGTATTTCCCATGTGTTGAGAAACACATCTATCTTTCCCAATATAAAAAAAATTTAAAGTACATACCCTTTGACCAAACAGTTTGCTTTCTGGACATATCTCTAAGGGAAATGGACTGAAACAAAATGGAAATAAACTTTATATGTAAAGATTGTTCCTGGGACATTTTCTTTTTACAACTAGACTAAGAACAACTAATTTTCCATGCTAACAAAACACAGATTTCAACACGAAAATGCTTAAACCTAAATTTTCTTTTTGTTTTTAAAAAGGCTTTATTAGAGGCTACTGGTTTAATATAGGACCAAATTACAAGCTGTCAGTAAGAATTTACCATTTCGAAAATATATATCAAAGGAGATGGAGGTGTGAAGAATAGAGGACCACTCCTGAGGCTGTCAGGAGGGGTGCCCCTGGCCAGGAAGCATACTCTGCTGTTCCTAATAGGAGCGTGACCCAGCCCAAGGGCTGGGATTCAGGGGCAACCCAGACAGGTAGGGCCTGGGTTCCTGAGAAAACATGGAGGGGAGCTGACTGTAAGCTGCCTTTGGGATTGGCCCTCTGGGCTGGGTATCTCTAACTTTCACAGTGGTGTTTCCCAAGGAGGCCTCTGAAGAGCAGGTGGGAAGTAATGGAGACCGGGAGGGATCCTAAAAGACCGCCTGACTGGAGCATTATCCTTTTTTTGTTATTATTAATTTTTTATATTAATCACAGGTTATTTACTTTGTATCCCAGCTGTAGCCCTGTCCCTCATTCTCTCCCAATCCCACCTTCCCTCCCTATTCTCCTCCCTCCCCCTTTCCAAGTCCTTGCTCCTGGCAGAGTCCACACCAAACTGGCTTCTTTGTCTCCCCCAGGTACTATGTGGAAGTGACCAGGAAACTGAAACTGCACTTACCACCTTCTCTTCCTGCATACACCATGCTGAAATACATCCATTATTTTCCTTAAACTTAAATGTTAAGTGTAAAGAACAAAAGTGACTTTGTACACACAGTATGGCTATAATTAGAGGTTAAATATTCTTCACTAAAAGTGATATACAAGTTGGTTGGTATCTAAGTATTTCAGATTTCAGAGGGTTTGCCAAGATTTTGGAATCTTTTCTTAGTGTTTACCGATTGACTATCTCTAAACTGGAAACCTGAGATTTCAAATTCTTTGAAATTCAAAAACTTCTATGTACTAAAGTTCTGAACATTCATAAGTTCAAAAGTTTTGAATGTCATAACCTTACAGATTTTGGGTTTGTGGAGCAGAAATTAACCTATATTTTGTTTAAAGTCAACATTTCCACAGAACAGTTTCATGTATTCTTTGCACTCCATTTGTTTCTACATCCAAATTTTTGGGAAAATCTGAAATTTAAACTTTATAAAATAATATTTCTTTCAGGTACGCCATTGCCTAAAGTGGATGTTTCTGAGCCTCTGGTTGCCAGCTCATCAGTGAAGAGAGCACAGTGTGCTGCAGATCCTCCAAGTGAAGAGAAAGATAAAAAAGTAAAAGAAGACCCATTGACCATTTCTGAACCAGCATACAATTCCAGCACCAGCCTGCTCCCTACCCCAGTGAATGATGATGAAGTCGATGTGCTCTTTGACTGTCCATCTAGGCTGGAGTTAGAAAGAGAAGACACAGATTCATTTGAGGAACTGGAGGCAGATGAACATGCCTTTTTGATGGCTGAAGAGGAGGAGCTGAAGGAAGCTCATCAAGCTTTGTCATGGAGCTATTCCATCCTGACTGGCTGTATCTGGGTCAGTCCTCAGTTAAAGCATTGTTCCAGGCTCCTGGTGGTGGGCCTAGGACTGCTGCTGTTTGTATTTCCCCTGATCCTTCTCCTTTTGGAGTCAGGTATTGATCTCTCCCTCTTGTGCAGAAACGAGAATTTGAGCAGTTTCACTAGGAATACTACTGTTTCCGAAAGGAGTGGATGGCTGGGAAGATAAATGTTTTTGTCTACATGTTGGCTTCCCCGACAAGAATATCATCCTTTTTAGTAGATGCCATGTTTCAAATGTTCATGGGTCATAAAGCTCTATGTCAAACCCTTAAGTTGGATTTTTGTATTTCAATGTACTTAATTCCAGTTTATATCAAATTAGGTTATTTTAGTTATATGTTACAAAGTCAGCCTTTAAGTAACCGAAGATACGCTATTTATCTTGCTCTATAATTTTTTTTATCCTACATCAGTGTGAATTACCATTTCCTGTTTCTTTGTCATTGTCATCATTATGAAAGACAACGCTAATAATTAGAGTTTTAGTCAAAGTCCAAGGGAAAACCTTTCAATACAATTCTTGGTGAAAGCAACATTCTTTAAGAAATGTTTATACAGCTAAATTTATACTTTTTTCTTTTAGTTTTTAAAAAGTATTTTAATTTTGGTAAATTTTTTTGCAAAAGTCCCACTGAAGTATTTAAGCCTACGTATTGTAAATCTAGGTCACAAAGATGCATCAGTATCTTTTTAATATTATGCCACCAATTATTATAAAATACATGTTTGGCTGAAAAATCCAATACTTAATAGCTATCTGCATATTTTATAGAAAAATTAGTAGAAGCGAGTTGTAGTAAATTGTATAAACAGATGCTGGAACTGGAGATATAGACAGGGAATGTTGAGTTGGCATGTGAGGCATCTTGCAACATTTAGACATGGCAATCTTATACTTTCATTTGTGTTATGCCAGTGCATTTAGCCTGGATATGCAGGATGTTTTGACAATAAAGTGAAAATTATAGAAGAACTACTACAAAAATACACTAGCTAATTGCATATTGTTCAGTAATTGGAGTTAAAGAAGGTGGGTTGGACATATGGAAGGCATCAAAAAAGAACCCTGATGACACTTATGGGAAAACAGCCTCTCAGCAGAAGTGATAGTGATTCAGGACACTCAAAAACGTAAGAAACTGCTTATATATTCTTCCAGGCTACAACAACACAGTTCAGTGATTGTTAATGACAGTAGAACATCCTAAAAGTAAACAGATAAGCAATTAATAAATGGGACTTCATGAAACTGAAAAGCTTCTGTAAAGCAAAGGACACTGTCAACAGAACAAAATGACTGCCTGCAGATTAGGAAAAGAGTGTCACCAATCCAACATCGGACAAAAGGCTAAAATCCAAAATATATAAAGAACACAAGAAATTAAACACCAACAAATCAAATAATCTAATTAAAATTGGAGTACAGATCTAAACAGAGAATTCTCAACAGATGAATCTCCAATGGCTGAGAAACACTTCAAGAAATGCTTGCTCAACATCATTAGTCATCAGAGAAATGCAAATGCAAATGACTTTGAGATTCCATTTTACACCTTTCAGAATTGCTGAGATTAATAACTCAAGTGACAGCACATGCTGGCAAGGATGTGGAGAAAGGGGAACATGCCTCCATTCCTGGTGGAAGTGCAGGCTTGTATAACCACTTTGGAAATCAATCTGGTGCCTTTTCAGAATACTGGGAATAGTGCTATTATACCACTCCTGGCATATACTCAAGAGATGCCCCACCACGCAACAAAGATATTTGTTCAACTATGTTCATACCAGCTTTATTTGTAATAGCCAGAAACTGGAAACAACCCAGATGTCCCCCAACTAAAGAATGGATAAAGAAACAGTGGTACATTTACACAATGAATACTACTCAGCTATTAAAATGAAATTTGTGGACAAGAGGATAGAAAAGATCATCCTGACTGAGGTAACACAGACCCAGAAAGACAAACATGGTATGTACTCAATTAAAGTCTGATATTAGCCATTTAGTATAGGGCAACCCTACTACAATCACAGACCCAAAGATGCTAAATAACAAAATAGGGCCCAAGGGAGGCTGCTCAAATCTCACTCAGAAAGGGAAATATAATAGTCAGTGGAAGTGGTTGAATAGAGGGAACAGGATAGAAGAGGGAACACTGAAGGAAATGAGGGTAGGGATCAGATATAGGGAGAGAAGGAGGAAAAAGGGTTTTCAGAGAGAAAAAAAAAACATGGGAAAGAGTATCTCTTAGTTGCTGGTGACCTGCAACAGGGTGGGCTTCTGAGAGAATATGGAGGGTGACTCTAACTGAGATCCCTGGTGGCAGGTGTCATGGAAATTGGAGAGGTCACCCTCTAACCAGACAGGACTCCTGGTGGAGGGAGGGGAACATCAACCCACCCACAAAACTTCTACCCAGAATTTATCCTACTTATAGGAGGTACAAGAATAAAGATAGGGCAGAGATTCAAGGAATGTGCATCCAATGTGTGGCCCAACCTGAGACCACTCCATCGGAGAAAGCCAATCTCTGATGCAATTGATGATGCTGTATGTGTTTGCATGAGGGAGCCCTGACAGGCTCTGCCCAGCAGCAGACTGAAACAGAAACTGAGACTCATAGATTCACAGAGTGGAAGGAAGGACAGAATGATCAGGAGCTCCACAAGAAGAAAAACAGATCCAATTAACCTGGGCCCAGAGGAGCTTGCGAATACTGAAGCACCAACCAAGGACATCACATGGACTAGACCTAGGCCTTCTACCTATATGTATACAATGGGCAGTTTAGCCTACATATGGGTTTCCTAGAAAGAAGATCAGGTGCTGTCTCTGACATGGTCTCTGTTGCATGCTTTTTGATCACTTCTCCCTGGCAGGGCTGTCCTGCCAGACATTGTCAAAGAGGAAGTGCACAGTTGTAATATGATACGACTGGATATACTGGAGTGGGTTTGTTGTTGGGCTCCCCTTTTCTCAGAGGGAGGGGAGAGAGGAGAGTAGGATGAGGGAGGAACAGAGAGGGCTATGATTGAGATGTAAAGTGAATAACTAAATTAAAAAATTGATGTTTTACAACATTCATTGTGTATCTGTGTAAAGAAATTCAAAATTGTATGTGTTGGTGGTTATGAGTGTATATGTGTATGTTTGTGCATGTCTGTGTGTATGCATCCACACGCGTTTATATTTGCATATATGTCAGTGTTTGTTTATATGTGTGTCTCTGTGTTTATATGTCTATGAGTGTATATGTTTGGATACATGTCAGTATTTATGTTTATGGCTGTATATATGTATTTCTTTGTGTTTGTGAGTGTGTATCTGTGTATAGCTGCACATGTATGTATGTGTATTTGTGTGCACAATTATGTATGTATGTATGCATGTGGGGCTGTATATACGTGTGTCTGTGTATGTCTTGGTATATATATGACTGTGAGTATGTGTGTGGATATGTGTGTCTCTGCATGTATTTATGTTGTGTTTGTTTATGTGTATGTAACTTTGAATGTATCTGTGTTTGGGTCTGTGTGTCTCTGATTATACCTCTGTGTGTGTGTCTTTGTGGGTGGTGAAGGAAATGATAGAAAAATAGGTGGTGGGGAGAGAGAAACAATAGATATTATCTTGATTTTCATGATAGGCAATATATGCCTGCCTTTCCTGGTTTTCCTTAAGATCTTATTTTATCTTATTCATAATTTGCTCTTCTATTGAAAAGATGACATACAAATTCACTTTAGGAGAAGAAGATAGGGAGGAAAGAAATTCTCCAACACATTCCTTTGTGTCATTAAATTTACAAACAAAAGGGCCTTATGTTTTCTGTCTGAACAAAGAAAAATAATGGTACTGAGTTTACAGCATGGAATGTAGGATTCTACCTATATTAAAATATTCAAGAGCCTTCAGTTATAAGAGTATATAATAGCCTCCTAACTCTATTAAAATTTCAACACTATCAGTAACTGATTTCCAAAGTGGGCATTCCAATCTGCCTTGTTCAGTCAGCTCAAGAGCATTGTAGTTATGCCACTTGCTATTTTATCTGCAGAGCTTTCTTCTCAAAGGCATTTCATGATTTATACAGAAATGCATTTACCTTCTATACAACCTGAAAAAAAATTTTACTTTGGAAGTTTGAAAGAAAAATTTTCTAGTGAACTTTTAATTTTTCCGTTTTTCTCTCATATGACTATGAAGTAATTTCATTGTTATTGATATAGGGCTTCTCCTGTGGTCAGCTCAAAGTAGTCCCTCTTCTAATTCCTATTTTCTTTGCAGTTTTATCTCAGGTAAATCATGTAGCCTTCACATTTAGAAAATATTAACATTCATATTTTAAAATTCTGGATATAAATACAAATTGAGTACTATTTTTAAAAATGATAATAGATAAGGAAAACAACAAGTCCTGATGACTTTAACAGTTATCAAAAGTAACATTGGAACCCTAAAATGTTATTTCATGGACAGAAAATCAGAATCTTAAAAAAATATTCATTGTATTTTTAGAAGGCAGTAAGCACTTGCCTGAATCAAATAAAGAGAAATCATTTGCTTCAAAAGATGGTTAGTATATGATATATAGTGAGAGTTTTGGTCAGTATATTGCATAATAAAATTCAGAGTTCAGGGCATGTGTGAGAGTAGATTAGATTCCATAGTTTGGATATATGGGCATTTAGGTGATGATACATGTATCTAGACACATCCTATAAGATTTTCAAATATAATTATTTATGCTTGTTTGTTGTTTCTTTTTCTCTTAAATATTATAGTGAAAAAGCCTATATCATCAAAGATTTAAAATTTCCATTAAATTACACCTCCTACACACACTCATACATACACTGAACTAAGACATATAACCACAACATGTATTTAGAAATACTACAAACTACATAACTAGAATCATGTGGGTAAAGTATTATATATTGTCTTCTTAGCTGGAATCATGTTTAATGTTATATATTTGCAGGATATTTTGTAGTTTGTCTAATATTCCTGAACCCTGGGGGAAGAATTTACAATGACTCAATTTCACTGGTTTAGAAAAGATATTAAAGCCATATTACTGTGATTAGAGCTTTATCTTAGTATAGTGAAATTTTCATTTTGGTCTTAACATTCATTCAGTTGTTTAATATATTGATACAATG